GGGGTTGGGGAGCTATTACCTGCACATCTGTGTTAGAAGGATCACTCTGGCTGTGGCATCGTGTACATCAGGAGGGCTCACAATGCAATCATTATTGCCACAGAAGTAGTTCGGTGGTGTCTGTGTCTAAATTCAGTGGCTAACTTCAATCAAATCAGGACATTTCGGTCCCCGTGATGGATGAGGGCTCTGTACTTTTCCAGGTTTCTTTCTGAGTCACAGCACCATGCTGGGAGGGCAGAAATTTTTCTCTCTGCTTTTGTACTGAGAATTCTCATCTCAAAAGCTGGGCCCTGGAGTTGCTGCTGACTCCATCCTTCAAGCACAGACTTCAAAACAAAAAGATGTAAAATGAACTTTTTTTCAAATGGTTAGGAAAAATCTAAGAGGCCTAAGAGTCGTGACTCTTAACACCTATAAGCCAATGGAGTGTCCGCCAGCTTAAGGAACTCAGAACATACCTGGCGTGGGCCGCTGGGTGGGCCTGCCATACTGCAGCCTGCCGGCCTGCTGGTTTCCCCGGCTGAGAGGATCTCGCTCCACTGGGCATCTTCAGATCAAGACCCTCTGCCTCTCAGGGTCACATGACTCACCGCCACTGGACAGCTTCAGCAAAAGAACAACTTTCCTCATCGAATGTATGGTCCTACTTGAAATGAATTCTACCCCCGAACTCCTTAGATTTCTCATTCCGTTAAATCACTCGGCTGGCAACCTGTCCTCTAGAATGTTCCCCTCTCTAGAAGCCCTGTCCACCAAGCTGTCAGAACGTAGATTCTGGGAAACAACGCTGAATCTATCATAAAGGTACCATTTATGGCTCTCAATTCTAATAACGTCATCCCATGAGGGTCACTGTGGGAGAGCGGGGAGTGATTTTCCTACCTTGACCTTCCTGTGACTCCTTCCAAACATCAGACAGATCTCCTGAGCCTTGTAGAACAAGGAGAATGTTAAGTATTTCATTTCAAAGTTTCCCCCGTATTGGAACAAAGCGCATGAAAAAGCAGAGAGCAAACTATTAAAGAGCCTTTGTTTCAACACAATGTGTAGGGACATCCAGAGTGAAGGGTACACGCTTCCCTCAAACTAGAACTTCTCTAGACAGAAATGTCACATTTATTCTAGTGTTTGTTCTACACTGAAGTTAGCAAAAAGCAGGACACAGTCATTTCAATTTTTTATTAAAATACTCTTTTGCTTATAGGGACAACCAAATAAAAAAATGCGTAATTCTACATGTTGTAGATCATGTGAAATACAATTAACATAGACTCTGGGGAATGTAGGATAGATTTTAAAAATCTTCAAGGAAGCTTTCACAAAAACAAACTTTAAATATGTGGCTTATTCATATCTACCTCATTTTTCAGAAGTTTTAGTTTCTTTTCTCTATGTTGATGCTACTCTGCTTTATAAATAATTGTTCAAATATTCTAAAAGCTTACCAATTTTGTTTCCTGAAGCTTTAGAAATATTATTTCTAAATGAAAGCCTCTCTTTTTAGCATTCTATGTAAACAAAGACTTACTTTATTTGAATTATCATTTGATTTGGTGCCACTATTTTGAGTACATTTCTGCAATAATTAGATGTTATGGGGACAAAGAGAGACAGGAAAACTAACTAGCAGGGGCATGTCTTACCCTAGGAAAGAAACTTTTATATATGGCTTTTATAATACCTACTGATTTAGGGGTTTTTTGATCTAGTCATAAAATAGTTAACCTAATTTTTGATTTTAAAAAAAAAGAATTTTTACCAGAGCTTCAAGTTAGAAGTAAATCATATCTAGAATAGTAATAAAGGGTCTAAATTTTAGTGGGGTTACTGGCTTCTGAAATGTTATACTTTTATTTTGGAAAACATTATTATTAAAAACTTGAAATACATTATAAACTGGTAATGGAATCTTTTAGGTAAACTCTGTCTTTCAATCCCTTCATAAACCACAAAAACAAAGCAAAATTGAATATGAAATTAACCATTGCATTTAGGGATAATTTCTACTGGGAGAAATAGATGTAAGGAAAATCAGTTCAAATACAATATGGTTCAAGAAATTACCTTCCCAGTATAAGGGCAGAAGAGATATTACAGTTAAAAATTTAATAATGAAGTCCTAATAAAGATGATAAATGCAGTTAAAAAGTGTCATAGTTAAGGCAACATTAAGCACTGTCAATAAACACAGAAGGATTTCTATATTCATAGATATGAAATTACTTTGAAGAATACCAAAGTGGAAATGAAGCACCTGGATGTAGATTCCTTTAAAACTTTCTCTTTTTTAGTTTAAAAGGTTTTAAGAAAACCATTACCTTTGTAGGCATTAATGAAGAAGGAAAGCCAAAATGTTTTCAAGGAAGTTTTAAACAGAGGCATTTTAGTTGGAAGTAAGAAAAGGATATCCCAATGTTTTCCTATTAAAAAAAATACACACAAGAGCTAAATTTTAACTTTTTTTTTAAAGGCCAAACGTTTTTGAAAAGGTTAAAGTACCTTTAGTATTCATTAGAGTAGTCTGAAAGAACAGAAAGGTATTAAGGCTTTAGATTTTATGATAGTTAATTATGATATTACATATGATTTTGTAACTAACTATTGTTCATATAATGAATACAAATACAAAGTGTCTAAGAGCATTATCTATTTTTATGTACTAAAATATTTAGACATACAAAAAAGATATTCCTGCAAGTTACTTGTAACTCATAATGTACTGAAAAATTAATAATTTTGTATAGTCAAGAGTCTCTGTAATATAAATATTTATGTTTTAGATTCATGCTTGAAGACTGGGGTTTTATTACGATGAAGGACACATAGTATTTAAGCTTATCATTATCGAAACATATAAAACAAAATAGTCTGTAGTGTATTTGGAGTTAACATCATCTTAAACAGAGATTTCTTTTTCACTGCATACCCTTCACCTCCCACTGTCTGATTATACTTTGTAGTGAGAACATTCTATCCAGATGGAAACCTAAAGGAAAGATTACACTATAACAAAATAATTTAAGTTTGCTTCCCATAAGAATTGCCGGCTTTTTCAACCTTCCCTGTTCACACCGGTGAGTTTCCTCTTTATCTCCTCCTGTCACTCAGCTTAGGAACAAGGCTCTGCCCACGCTGTCTGTACAACAGGACGAAGTGTTTCCCTGGTGCTCTAAGTGGAGTCTGATTTGGCAGGCACTTCCCATCCTGAGTGTTCCGTAAGCTGGTACCTTAAGTCTGAGAAATGCTTATCTTCCTAATTCTTTATACCCTAGCAGAATATTTAATGCAATGTCATAGGTGTGCCTTGCAATTCTCGGTCAGAATTCACCTACCTCAGCACTTTGGGCAGGGGCATGTAAGAGAAGGAGAAATTTTCCTCAAAGCTCTGTCAGCATGTGTATTACAGGATGGATTCTACTACGTAAGAGTTTTAAACTGTAAAATGTAGTAAGCATTTACTTTCTAAAACCAACATTACAAGGTTTGAAATTAAGCCTTTAATGGTGAAATTTATGTGAGTTCTCATCGGACTATCTACCCTATTTATAGAAGAGATAAATGAGACAAGGTACAGTGAGTGAAGACTGGTGTACGACTGGAAAAACTCAGTGTCCCAGGAGTAGTATATGAAGAAGTCATAACTTATGTTAATGTGCTCTAACACTTTCAAAACCAAAGGCTTTTGGAATGCTAGAAAAAAAATGACATCAGGCTTTGTCAAAAAACCTCAGATCTTTCAAGAAATTCTCTGTGTACTTGCTTCTCATATGATCAAAGTTGTAAATGTATTTAAGAGGAAAGGGCTTATTGCCAGTGGGCTATAAAATCAACCAGAGCAGTGATAATTATAATTTAACACATTACTGGATTTGTCATACTTTAACTCTGTCCAAATTCTATCTTCTTAACCAGCTAGCATGCCGGTGCAACCAGTAGAGCTCAATGAATAGTTTTTCATATCTTTCTTGTTGTCTAGATTGCTTTGGTTTGCATTCTTCTCCTTCTTTAGAACATGCAGTTCATACATTTGACAGTTTTACTACCATAGTCGATGCATTCTGGACCAATGCACTCGCAGCAGGCGTTATGGAACCAGCGATATTTGGACGCTCCCATGGATTCACAGGATATTTTACACTGATGTATGGACATGCAGTCATCAAAATAAACCACAGTACACATGTGTTCTGAAAAAGAAAAAATTAAGAGCTCAGAGCAAGAAAGAGGAAAATCAGGAAATGCTTTAATACCTGTCTGATATTAATAGTTATTCTTGGTTCTCTTACTGCTAGTCTACACAGGACAATGGAGGAGGTGTAGGAAAAAAGATCACATTTGTTAATTATATTGAGAAAGAAGCCAGAGTCTCCCACTCCAGTTGAAGAAGGTAAAGGACTTCCTTAGTCACTTTATCAGATTCTGGACTTTGATCTCAAAGTTAAGGTTACTAGGCTTAACGTTTGCTACGCTTCAGAGCTGTGCCTTTTAAATTGGGCATTCCTTCCTTCTTTCCTTCCTTCTTTCCTTCCTTCTTTCTTTCTTTCCTTCCTTCCTTCCTTCCTTCCTTCCTTCCTTCCTTCCTTCCTTCCTTCCTTCCTTCCTTCCTTCTTTCTATTTATATTTGAGAGAGAGGTGGGGGGAGCGTGAGCAGGAGGGGCAGAGAGGGAGGAAGACAGAGGATCTGAAATGGGCTCTGCACTGACAGCAGAGAGCCTGATGAGGGGTTTGAACTCAAGAACCATGAGATCGTGACTTGAGCCAAAGTTGGACACTTAACTGACTGAGCCACCCAGGCACCTCAAATTGGGCATTTCTGATAAGATTTCCTTAGAGGAGAGAATTCTCTGGCTAAAAGAAGTTTTAAAAATACTGTTCTAAAGCTATACTGAGAATTTACAAAAAAAACAAAACAAACTTAATTCAAATGATGCAAAATGGTTAGCAATACTTGGCATAATTCTGCATTAGCTATTTAAAAACGCTCATATTATCAGTAGCAATTTCTAGTCTTGCTTTCCAACACAACTATTTTTGATTGTTTCAATTTTTAGTTCTCCTGGTGGTTAATGTCATATAATGACCTAGCTAGGAGGATAGGGTACATGAAATAAATAAAGACAATAAAAAATATTAATAGAGAGTGTATGATTAGAGTCTGTTATTTTACAGAGCCATTTATAGAACTGATAAATTACCAGGCATCTGAATAGCAAGGAAAGGTTTAATGGAAAAGAGCGGGCTTGTATTAGGAAGAAGAGTGAAATGCAAAGTTACCAGGTAACAAAATAAGGAAAGTCACAAGGAGACCAGTGCAGTGCGCATGGGGAACGGAGTGGAGGCCAGTCCCGCTGCAGTGAAAGGTTGGCAGCAGGAGACAGCAGAACCATCACTGGCTATAGAAGATGAGATCAGGTCAAGACAGAAAACACGAAGGCCAGTACAGCATGAGACCAGGCAGACTAGGGACTGAGCAGGACAGGGGAGCTTTGAATCTCCAGGTGATTAGTAACTTTTTTTCATTTATTAATTGAACAAGTATTTGTGGATCACCTACTATGGATGGCCATTATGGACTCAAAGAGTAATGAGAGAATCCAAGGAACTAAGTACAAAATGGTAGACCTATAAGTTAAAAACAGACAACAAGTCAAAACACAAATATGGGGAGAAGGAATAGAGCTAATTTGCTCTAGAGGTAAAAGCAGGGGCACCTAGAGAAGGTGTCAAAGAGGAGAAACTTTGTCTCGAAAGATAGTTGGTGTTTCCAGGAAACTTGGCTTCCTGCTAATTATTTTATTAAATTAAATGATATTTGAACAAAATTTATGAATTATCATTGAATGCCTATTATACTGATTACATTTTAGTGGAGAAAATGGTAGCAAAATACCTTAATAAGGCATATTCCATATATTTCTGATGTTTTCCAAAATCTGCAATTTGTCTCTTAAGGTAGTATAACCAAAAAGCAACAAGAATGCTTACTCTGAGTATCATTAACAAATGCTGTTTTGCTTTTACTACTGATATCCAAAGGTCATACTATTTCAGATAGGCAGGGTTATAAGGGAGGGCACAAGAAAAAGCCAAATAAGAAATAATACAAATTATACTATTTATGCATAATTCATTTCATATTTTAAGAAATAAAAACTTCATCATTGCCATATTCTTCCACAGTAAAATGGTGCAGAGCCTTTTACTTGAAAATATCAAAGATTTTATAAAAGTTACATGCCCTTTACATTAAGGAATGACCTATCCTCACTAATAAGCGTTCTTTAATATGGTTTTCAAAGTTATACAAGTCATTCTTTCATTTAGTTCCCCTTCTGACCAACAGCACTGGGGACAGTTTATACCTGGAGATTAGACGTCTGTAATACCAACTTGTTCATAAAGAAATTTAGCAGATGACCTCAGTAGCATTTTTGGTACCAATGCTATTACAAAAACGTGACTTCCTAGGACACTCTGAATATTACCTGACAGTGTGCAATGCTATATAAAGTAAGCAGCACTGTTGCTATCCTATGGAAAGAACAATTTAAGCCTAACACAAATAAACATCAAAATTAGAACCAGATTATCTATCTTCCAACACAACCTCTATCACTGTGACCATGAAGGAGTGGTGACTATATGCCTGACATGCCTCCTTATCTACTTAGGGATTAGGGTCATTAAAGTCCAGAATTTACTTAAAATTAGACAAACTCAAAGATACTTTAGGTTTCACAGACCACCCAGAAAGTGAGGGGGCAAGACAGAAAGTCAGCTGTGGGCAGTTACCTTTGTCACTGGAGTAAGGTGCGTGAACATTATTGCTAGGAACAGACACATTTTGATGGTGTGGCTGGTTCACAGTTTCTAAAAAGGAAACCAGATTCTCATGATGTGAGAGTTCCTCTGCAACAGGGAAGGAAACAATGTTCCAGTTCAATTGAGTGTCTCCTTCTGTGAGCGCCCGGAAGAGAGAAGGGATTGGCTCGTGAAGCTCCTCCACCGTGCTCTTTGAGGTTGGAGGTGTGTCACTATAGTTTCTAGGATTACACATACCTGGAGGAGAAGGGACGAAGAAAATAAAAGTTAATTTTTCTCCCCGACTGGAATATCATGCAATACTATCTTGCAATCAAAGCTCCAACATATTAAAATTAGGCTGCTTCTACATATACGTAGATATCTTCCTAGCCTTATTGGCTGAGAGGGCCCAGAAGTGATGACACCCCTGTAGCATTGAGCACATCAAGTGCCCAGATGTTGTTTTCTAAATACCTAACCTACACTAAGAGGGACCAGAGCTATTTTGAGAAAAGACTGATTCCAGAACTAGGTCAGGGAAAGTACAAAATGACCCTGGGATACTTTCTATCCCAAAAAGTAAGGAAATGCTCAGTGAATAATGGGACATATCAAAACACAGGATGTAACTTGAAGGGGTTCCTACTGGCCAAATAGACAATTTTAATGTCAAAATAAATGATGATAGTAATGGATTACCACCTGACAAATAAAATAGGAACTAATGAGTCCTTATATTACCAATAAATGAATGAAGGAAAAGCTCCCCAACTGATAAATGTAGAAGGAATGAAGGAAATAGAAAATCACCACTTGGCAATTATCATAGAGGTGTTTGATTCAGATGGGAGTCATCAATGGATGCTAAAGCTTGTGGGTGGAGGTCACATGAGGAACATATTAAAGTACTCCAGGATCATCCTACATAACATAAAGTCTCTGCTCAATAAAACTCTCAAGGGAAAGACCGCAGTACTGTTTCAGACTGAATGAGTCTGAACAGACATGACAACTAAATGCATCACATATTCTGGATAGCAGCCTGGATCAGAAGAGGTATCACAAGGGATACTGCTGAGACATTTGGCAAAATATGAATGAAGTTTGTGGACTGGATGGCAATGTTGTAACAATGTTATATACGAGAATGTTCTAGTTAGAAAACACAGACTAGAATATTTAGTAGTGATGGGATATCATGTATAAAGCTTGTTTTCTAAAGGTTCAAAAAAGGATGAATGATCATGCGTGTTGGGTATGCGTATATGGAGAGGGAGTAGAACTGAACAATGGAGCAAATTCGATAAAATGTTAGTAACTGGGGAATCTAGGTGAGGGATACAGGAATCTTCACCCTTCTGGCAGATTTTCTCTATATTTGAAATTATTTCAAAATGAATTATTTTGGGGGCACCTGGGTGGCTCAGGTCATGATATCCCAGTTCATGAGTTTGAGCCCCACATCAGGCTCTGTGCTGATGGCGTGGAGCCTGCTTGGGATTCTGGCTCCCTTTCTCTCTGCCCCTCCCCTGCTGATTTTCTCTCTCTTTCTCAAAAATAATAAACATTTTAACAAAAAAAAAAGAATCATTTTTTTAAAAAATCTTAAAAACGAAAACCGGTAGAGGGGAATTAGCGATAGTGACTATAGAAAATGTTTCCAAGGTGTTTTGTTATAAAGGGAAGAGCTGAGAAAATGCTTAATCAGCCCCAGTCTTTGGGCAATAATAGCCCAACATCCACTTGATATTGTGGAGCAGAAGGGAGCTACCCAGAATGCGAGTTCTGAGCTAATTAAATGTTTATTATTGTCTTAAGCCACTACATTTGGGGGTAGGTTGTTTAGCAGTACTAGTAACTGGAACAGAGCCCTCCGGATTTTCTTTCATGAATACTGTACTTTAAAAACTAAATTATATTTCACTCTGGTTTAGTATCTATTAGGTCTAATATGGAGTTTTTCTTTTTCCTCAGACTAAAATTTTGAACTGTTAAACCAAATTTATAAATTCCTAGATTTTATAAATTTAGGCAGAAGGGAAAATCATCTCGTGTTTTCCACACGTTACTCGTTTAAGGGACATGGCAAGAACTGAGGATAACGAGGTTGTTTATACTCTTCATAAAATCTTTTAAAACACAGGAACCCTTAATGATTTAGGTGATGACACAGAATGATGGATTAAAGGGTCAATCTGACTCCTTTATTCATAAAAGAGGAAATGGGCCCAGATAAATTAAATCATTCGTCCACTGTTATATAATCTAGGATTAACGCCAACATTATGATTCAGTCTGATTTCACATCCATTGCTGATTTCAATAACCACATTCTACAAATAACCGTTAAGTGGCACTGAAAAGCAAATAATACTTAGAATACGTGAATTATAAAATATACATAATTTATTCTTCTGCCGGATTTTATAATGAATGAAAACTAGTAATCTGAGATGAAAAGGTAAACAACAGAGCTCAATGGTTGGAAGAGCTAAACTCAACATCTACTGGGACTTTAAACAAACTTCAGGGCTCATTTCCAGAGATTTCATTACATTCAAAAAAGTTTTGAGGGGAGAGATTTGTGCATTTAACAAACTTAGGCCAAAAACATCTGTAATTTAAATCTGAATACACTGTGTTAAAACCAGTATGCATGAAGTAAATGCTTGCTATCTAGATAATATTTTTCCATGGCATGATTTTAAAGCTTTCACATAGCTTTCTCTTTTTACAGCTAGGATTACATTCAGAGAGATCATCACTAGAAACTCTTCTTAGGCAATGCAGATTTTGACCCTCCATTTCTTGCCTGAAGCACTCTTCAAATTCCGAATTCTTTCAAGCATGGGGAGTTATGAAATCTGATCTTCCAATGACATGTGCGATTTATCCTGCTCAGGAAAAGCAACCTTTTAAAATTTCTGGAAGTTCTTTTTTTTTTTTTTTTTTTTTAATATTTTGCATAAATTTTAGAGAAGAAGGAGGTGCGTGAGGGGGACCAGGGGCAGAGAGAGAGGGACACAGAGAATCCAAGGCAGGCTCTGCACTGTCAGCACAGAACCCGACACGGGGCTCAAACCCACGAACTGTGAGATCACAGTCTGAGCTTGAATCAAAAGTCAGACACTCAAATGACTGAGCCACCCAGGCACCCCTGGATATTCTTTAGTTGTCTATATTCATTATGTACAATGGATTAATTTCTGGGGAGAAAGTTACTAACCACTCACAGCTTAAAACAATTAGGAAAACTTCTCTGGAAAGCATCTATCATCCTCCTGAAGTTTATCATTGTTAGCTTTTCTTTAGTTGGCTACAGAGGTTATTTTCACTATCATTGTGTTGAGGCAGTTTGTTACTTTGTGCCATTCTATCACTACAGTGAAGTTTTTAAATTTTAAAGGAACCGGCTCTGCACAAGGCAGTCAGGAGAGGCTTCAAATCAGGAAACAAATGGCAACCATTGAAAAGGCAAGCATTTCAAATCCTTTAGGTGCATAGAACTTTGATACAATTTGTTTCAGCAAGCCAGAATTCACTACTATTGTGCTCTAGATCTACAACTACTAAGTACAAAGATTTTTTCTGATGTGTGCTTAATTCTTTTATATATCTGACCTGTGTCTTCATACATTTGAAAACTAAGGTTATATTAAAGTAGAGCTTACTTGATGAAACCACGTTTTAGGGTAGTTATTAAGACTAAGGGGGAAAGTTATTACTTTCCTTAATGTGCATGGTTAAAAGCAACCACAGAGTCCAGAAAAATGTACAATAAAGAAGCAACATTGCTTTCCACTCCTCCCACCCCCAATTCCACTCCCCAGACACACCCACTTTAAAAGTATTCTTGGGACACCTGGGGGGCTCAGTTGGTTGAGCGGCTGATTTCAGGTCATGATCCCACAGGTGGTTCCTGAGTTCAAGCCCCACATCTCAGGCTTTCTGCTGTCAGTGCAGAACCTGCTTTGGATCCTCTGTCTCCCTGTCTCCCTGCCCCTCTCCCACTCTCTCTCTCTCTCTCTCAAAAAGAAAAAAGAAAAAGAAAAAAGTCTGTTCTTAAGTTTCTCTGGTAGTTACCTCTACAAGAATTTAAATAAAAATGGTTAATTACCAGAAGCAGTAAAAAACATCTTAGACCTTATCTATTAATCCTCTTATATGAGAGATGAAGATTAAGTTCATTTACACTAGACTCTTTCTTGTGTTTCTAATAATTATATTATTCTAATACTATAGAATACTCCTTTGCAGTCTTAAATATACTTAAACTTCTGATTCTTATTCCACATCTCTTAATTCCCTCATTTGCAGATAAGGATGCCAGTGTCTTCCCACTTTCCCCACCCAACTCCTCCTAACTTATGTTGACAAACTTAATAAAAACCTTCTGTTGCCTAAATACAATGAAATCTTCTTGTCTTAGTATACTTGATTTTGAAAGTTGAAAACCAGCAAACAGCAGTTTACCTTAACATGACCCCATGAACATTGTTCACTGAAAAGCACACAGTATGATAGGATTTCCTTGTCCAATGCTATATTATCAGAAGCAAATTTTCTAATTTTAAGATAAAATGAATTTTTTTCCATGAACTCCATACAATACTGAAAAACAGCTACATTTCACACAGCATTACCTATCAGGTCTTCTTGCCAAAAATCTTAACCTGAATCCAACCAAACTTTTAACAACTAGCTTCAAATTACTGGAAATACAGAGGGATAGAGGAACAAGCTAAATGACAACCTCAAGGAAATAAAGTTAGACCCTTAATGTGGGATATTCTACAGGCAAACTGATACTGTTTCTTCAATATGTCAAGTGGCATGAGAAAAAACCACACACCAGATACCACATAAGCATCTTGTTTGGATCAATTTGAACATATCAACTATACAAACATGCTTTTGAGACAAATGGAGAAACTTGATTATGCACTGGAATGTTAGGTTATACCAAGAAATTACTGTTAATTTTGTAGGTTTCATAATGGCATTATGATTTAAAAAGTAAATGTATTTTCTTTTAGGGATTGAAACTGAAGAATGTAGGGGTAAAAATTATTTACTGTCTGTAGTTTGCTTTTAACTATTCTGTGCCAAGTAAGAAAAAAAAAAGGAGGAAAGGATAGATGAAACGAATGTAGCTTATTTTTGATAATTGTTGAATCCAGTGATGGGTATATAGGAATTCATCATGCTACTCTCTCTACTTCTCTGGATGTGAAAATTTTCATAATGGCAAATCA